GCACCGCCTGCACACTCGAAAGTTACATCGCTGATATTGCTCTAGCCTGCATCTGTATGTACTTATGTATGTTGAACTTATTTCGCACTGTACGTGGCCAACCGTGCTAATCAGAGGCGTGGGGGAAGGACAACAAACTCAACACAAAAAGCAGTTCTAAAAAAATGAGCTTTCAATCTAGATTTAAAAGTGCATAGCTCCGGACGATTCTTAATATCGGAGGGAAGAGATGGAGAGGGATGGGGAGGGGTGACGGGTGAAGGGGAAGAGCTTGGAATCGCAGCATGAACTTGCTCGGGAAAAGAGGGAGGAGGAAGACCCTAAGCGCTATTGAGTCACAACCAAGAATTTATAGCTGGGGGCGAATTTGCGTCAACAAAAACAAAATAGCGAACTAACGATGATAAAAGTGTTCAGCGCATATATTTGACCAACGTGAAGGAACTAAACTTAATCATTAAGCTACGCTGTTAAAATTCCTATGTGAGAACAGGCACATACGTTCATCTATAAAAATGTTGTTTATGGAATGCAATAAAGAATCAAATGAGAATGTGCTGCCGCTGCCAGAATCTGTACGCCTTTTTTTCCCTCTCACTGTGTCTCTTGGTGTGTCATTGTGACATGGTGTGAAAATTACAAACGCCGTGGTTGTTTTTAGTTGTGGACAGGTCATTGGTGTAGCCGGGGCTTGCATGGGCCCTGGTGCAAGAAAATAATTTCCGCTCTCTCCATAGGTACCCAGTGCCTGGACACCTCGTATGTGGGCCCCGGTTCAACTGCAGTGCCTGCATACTTGCTAGCTGTACCGCTGATGCAGGGCTTGCTTGTATGCCAAGCAGTGAGAATAGTAACCTAATCATATGCTATGTTCATTCGATTCATATGGATTGCACATGACGAGTTTATGTGACCTACATCGGCCAATAGCCGGGCAAGTCGTGTCTATACACGTGGCCTGTAACCTAGCACTTTGGAGGCAGCGAGGATTGTTGGATCGCTACAAACGTTGTGAAACTCCCTTCCCATGGGCGTTGACGTACCAAACCCTGGCTCGAAACGAGAAGGCAGCACGGGGATAGAGTGTTGCCTCCTCACATGCGTGGATTTTCTCGGGGTGCTCCGGTTTCGTCCCACTCGTGTGCACACTCATTAAATTGGCTGAAAACACCTTAAAATAAAGACCAAGACCTTTCCTGAAAATGAGTTACACGACTCGGTGTAGCTGCCCTGGATAAAATAAGTGAAAAATATATATAAACGACAAACCACGACCTTCATCATGGTGTATTTATATACACCTTCTTTGGGAGGGGCGGGGGTGTAGGGTGAAGGTTGTTAAAATGCATTGTTAAACGGTCACGCACACAACATGAGCACGAGCCGAGAAGCATTGTGTGCCAGCAAGTGCTGTTGCTGCATCACGTTTCAGAGTCGCACGTTGTTATTCCAGGGAGCCCCCTCCACAACGCTTTCCTTGCAATGTAATTCTCATATGCACCGTCGTTGCGCTCGTTACAATGAACTGATGGGAGGCTTACATTTGTTTTACTTTTGGCTTTTTTACAGCCATGCTGATGTTAAATGAGACAGTTGAGTCGAGGGTTCGTGGAGACTCATTCTCTAAGGTTCCTCACCCGCCCTCCCCACCACCAGCAGCCTTGGTTGCTGACACTTGGGGAGCGAGGAATCCCCACCCAGTCTGTAACCACTCTCCCTACTCGGAGGCCCCTTGCACCCTGCAGGCATCAGGTGATGGTGTCAGTGTCAGTCAATTCGCAGCGCTGTCGGATGGCTTTGTCGAAGAGAATGACCCCCTTTGGCATTTCGTTCCTAGAATCGGGGATTCTTCCTCTCACTGAATATATTCTGGGTTATCGGTAGACCGGTGTAGGCACGCGGAAAGTTAGCCGTAGCCGTAGTTGAGAATCGGCGCGACACGCACGGTGCGGAAATATTTTCTGAATCGCCGACTCATGGAGAGAAACATTTACGCGCTGTACAATCGCACATTCTTCCGATGTTACATTCGGTGACTGGCAGGTCCTTTGTGTATTGGTGTAAAATTACATTACCTTGGAATTGACCATCATCACCGTGTGTGTGTGTGTATAATACACCATAAATAGTTTCCCCGGCGCTGTTCAGTGTGTATGTAGATAGATTGCACAAGGTCAAATTTTCTCATAAATAGTTTTTGCACTGCATTTCCTTAAAAAATGTGAAAAAACACTCTGATAGCAGATGAGGTGTGTGTATGTGTGTGACATTGCAGCCATGAGACATTATTTGTATAAGAATATTAAAATCGTAAAAAAATGTAACTCAAAAAAAATAATCACTTGAGTCTCAATATTACTTTTCACGTGGGGATCCTGCATTGGGATGTTTAGGCAATTCCACTCGTGGGTGTTTGGCTCTCGATGAGAGGAAACTAAAGAGCCCAGGACAAAGCCCTCGAGGCAGCTGAGAGTGGTGACACTCAGCACTGCCATCTCACGGCCACCTCCTCACGGCCAGAGTCCTACGCCAGCTGGAAATCCCTGGTGATATGCTAGCCAAGTACTAACCAGGCTCACACCTGCTTAGCTACCGAGGTCTGACGAGGTCGAATGCATTCAGAAGCTGTTTCCTCATACACAGTGAAAGCACCAATAAACAATTGAATGGTTGAATGAGAAGTAAGAAATATTGTGTGTAACACTGAGGACCGTTATGATCTATCTAAACACACTAACGTGAACATACATCGATTCTATATTTAAGTGATACTTTTAGGATCTTATCCAAATAGAATCAAATGAACGGAACTGGGATCCTGTTTCAGCATCATCACCGGTAATGGCAATATGGCACCGGTGTACACATACTTGATATGTTAAGTTGTACGTATCCGTACCTTTGTGCAGTGTTTATGAATGCCAAATTACTTAAAGGGACGGGTTACATTTTAAATAGTAACAGGTTTTTTTTTTCTGCAGCCATATGGAAGGGATATCTCAACGTTTGAGCCTCTTGGCTTTCTTCACTATATACTAAGGTGTGTAAAAGAACAACTTAGTAAATTATATTGCAAGAGATATCTGTTCAGGGCAGTGAATGGGATTGGGCAGAACACGTGGCTAGAAGAAGACACGATGGCCAGGTGACGAAACTAGTGCTAGAGAATGTCAGCCAGGGGAGAGAACACAGCCCAGGCAAGATGCCCACTGAGGAGATGGAGCGATGAAGTCGGCTCGCGTGCAGGCGCGAGATGGATTGGAGAGGCCGACAAGCAGGAAACGTCTTGACAGCGAGGTCGTAGATGGTGCCGCGGTGGGGGGTTCGTGATGATGCATATTAGTAGGTTGGGTGATGCGAGTCTTGTGAAATGCAATTCGCCGTTACTTTATGCACAAGTTTAGCGAGGTATCTACCACCCTGACTGCCTGACTCTACTGTCGCCCATAGAACGGCAGCATAGCTTGCATACTGCAAATAATTATATCAGTTGACAGCCCGTTATCAATCCACTGCTGGATGAACCACGCACTCCCCCCCCCCCCCCTTTCCCCATGCTGTGTTGGACTTGTGGGGTTTTTTCTTCTCATACTTCCCCGTGCTGGTCAGTGCAGGTTGAAGGCAAAAGGCGAGGGGCCCAGACAGATTCAGTGATCACTCGCCACGGATATTAGGCGTGGCTCGGAAAAAACAATTATTACATTATAATAATAATGTACTGCCTTTTGTCCATCTATTACTGGCTGAAGGCTTCCCCAAGGCATTGTGTAGGTTATGCTACCACGCATGTGAGTGCGTGTGTGTAGTCTGACCAACAGGTTTTGCGTTTAATAAGGGGGTATTGTAAGAGGGTGGAATTGCGCAAAATGTTAGGCATTTCCCTAGGGCTGCAGGCAACTTAAACGCTTACTGAATTCAACTGCGCGTGTGTAGCAGGGGCGATTCTCCGAACCCGTCCTCTTGTTCCCCGCACTGCATGGCGCGTTGTGTAAAATATCAGCACCGGGGGGGACAAAGGCGGCCGGACGTGGTTCCGGTCACGCCGCTCCCGTTGCAACTCTCAATAAGTGCTCGCAAAGCAGCGCTTGCTCCCATCGGTCTCGACGGTTTATACGGCGAACTTTATCTTAGGATGTGATACGCGTACAAGGTGACTTACACGCCTTGAAGAGCGATCGGTACTCATGTGGGCGAGGTGATAATCAGCAAGCGGCATAGCAAAGGCGATGACAACAGAGTCGTAAGAGAATGCACGTGGTGTTACGAGACCCTTAACGCAATCGCGGAAACGCGGCACAGATATCAGCGGTCAAAGGCTGTGGCATGTTTTGTTGACTTTCTGAGCAAGGCACCGATGCATATTGACTCGCCAGGCCGGTACAAAACGTGGTCGTACAAAATCCGAAATGCCGTGCAGGTAAAAAGGTGACGAGTTTGCGACGTTATCATACTGCGAGCTGATGATCGTGCTGACCGCTGGCGATGATGATAGTGCTGATACCGATGATTCTCATGATGAACCTACTGCTGCCGCTGATTATACTTCTTCTGCTGCTGTTGCAGATGGAATTACTGTCCAATAACGATGCGTCTGCTCCTGCTGATGGCGATATATCGTACGATGAGAATGCTGGTGTCAGTAATGATGATGCTGCTGCCGATGCTGATGTTTCTTCTGCGTGTACTAACGATGGTGATTGTGATCCTACTGTCGCTGACGATGACACTGACGATGATGCACTGTATCATGATTCTGATGCCGGTGCTTCTGCTACTGCCCTCGATAATCTTGCCTTGTGACGATGGCGATTCCGCTGCTGCTGTTCCTGATTATAATATCGATGGTGCATATTATGACTCTGGTACTGCTGCTACCTGCTGCTGCTAATCGTGCGCATGATGCTCCTGCTGCTAGACACCGCACCTGGTAGTTCTAGGCGAGAAGCACCGTGGTCCCCCCCCCCCCCGCGTGTCCTTGTGATCACTCCGCTCCCACTCACCGTTCCTTGTCTTGGGCGCGTTGCGTGACGCCTTGAGCATCTCGGACTGAGCTCCTACGGCACTCCCAGGGCGCGCTCCCTGGCTGAGCAGCAGCAGCAGGAACAGTGGCGCGCCAAGAAGCGACGACATTCCGCTCCGCATAGCTCGCAGCGAGCACCGACAGTGAACGAAACTAAACCAGGATACAACCAAACCGGGCAGACACCGCCACGGTCGATGGGCAGCGCTGGAGGCGAGTTAGGCACCGGCAGCCCCTTAGAGTCCTCGTTGCAGCAGCCGGTACTGCACGTGCCTGCGCGCTTTGCTCGTGACCCACTCTTGGTTACAGACGGAGCGGCGCGCGAGTTGAACGGAGGAGACAGACACCTGCTGCCGCTCGCTGCTTCTTCTTCTGCTGCTGCTGCTGTTGTTGTTGTTGCCGTAGAAAGTCCTGCAGAAGTGTCACGGATCGCCGTTGAATTATGTCTCTCCGCCTTTCGTTGCTGCTGCTGCTGTTGTTATAGCTGCGTTAGTTGTTGCTGTGGTTGTTGTTTGAGCTTATGTTTGCGTGGCGCTAGGCTTACTGCTGCTGCTGTTACAGATGCGTTAGTTGTTGCTGTGGTTGTTGTTGTTGTTTGAGCTGTAATTGCGTGGCGCTAGGCTTACTGCTGCTGCTGTTATAGCTGCGTTAGTTGTTGCTGTGGTTGTCGGTGTTGTTTGAGCTGTGATTGCGTGGCGCTAGGCTTACTGCTGCTGCTGTTATAGCTGCGTTAGTTGTTGCTGTGGTTGTCGGTGTTGTTTGAGCTGTGATTGCGTGGCGCTAGGCTTACTGCTGCTGCTGCTAGTTTGACGCTCTCCCGTCCACTCCGTCCGCCTGTGTGCGCGTCGCAGCCTCGCTGTATAAAACCCACGGAGCGTCGTTGTTGTTTATTTTGCCGAGTGCCTGTCTCGCATGGAGTTCCCTCTCGCTTACTCGATCATTTAAAACCAAAAGCGAAAACGGAGCAACGCTACCCGCCTCTCCCCTGGCCGTTTGAGAGTGCAGCGGACTGTGCGCGCGTGCGTGCTGAAGCACAGCCCCGATGCCTTGCGTATCGACTGCAGACACTCTCGCCGTGCTGTCTGTGCCCTTCCCCGCGTGCTCACCGCACACCAGACTGCGCTGCTCTGTCGATGTGTCGAGCTGGCTGTCCGCGAGCACGACTGCTCCGTCTTGCTGGCGGTCGGTCGATGCCGTCTGTCCGTCTGGCCCTGTGCGCGCGCGGTTCGATGCGTCGAGTTTGGCCCCTCGCTGAGCGTGTCGCTCGCAGACACACAGCCGGGGAAGGCACTCTGGGGTCTATGGCCGGTGCTGCGTGCTGGCCCCGGAGTTTAATAAGACCGACTTGTGTAGAGAAACCTCCGCCCCTCTCTCTCTCTCTTTCTCGCTCTCTCTCTCACACACACACACGCGCGCACGTACCAAAAAGAATATACTGGCCTCAGGCCAAGGAAGTGAGCTCAAGCCCTTTGGAAGCGACGCAGCAGCTTAGACCGTAGCCGCGGCTGTGGCTTATTTTAAGTCCTCTGGCAAGGCGAGCGCCGATCGCCAGCTGAGAATGGTTGGGTGCAGTGGCGTTTCAGATGTTTGCAGGGGAGACAGGGGAGGGAGGCAAGGGAAGCATGCGGGGGTGGTGTGGGATGGAATGGAGGAGACGACAATTATGAGTGGCACATTTCCCTGGGGCACAGACGGCCTGGGTATACGGGACAGCAGGATTGCCGTGTCTCACAAGAAGTGTAGGGGAGGTGTCCGTACAGGTGTTGCGAGTCTGTGTATTTTCCGACGCGCTTGCCAGGTCTGAGCGGGTCTCCTGCGTAGGCAATGATGCCCAGGAGTGAGCAGATCATAAATCTTCATCACCTACCCCCCTCCCTCGTCGCGCCGCGCTGTCTGAAGTCTATAAGGCGAATGAGATGCATATATAGCAGGGTCATAAGCAGGTTATTGCTAAGTCGGCTCGTTTGAGCGTAGATATAGATACACTCCGACTGGTGACTTCGGCACAAGAGAAATGAGACCCAGCCAAAGGCGTGAGGACATCGGTTCTTTTTTAAAAACGCGGTCAGGATTGTTGTGTACAGCGTCCTTCAATTCTAGATTTAAAGCTTTCGTGACTGCAAGGATCCATACTCTTTGGTTCTATTCGGTAGAGTCACGTAGGTAAGGGACCAGGCTGTCCCTTCACCTGATGAAGGCCGCTTGTGTTGTGGCCGAAACGTCGTGATTTTTTTTTACCTACGTGACTTAACCGAATAGAACCAAAGAGTACAGCGCCCTTGTTTATCAATCCACTGCTAGATGAGGGAGGCCATCTCCGCGCCTGTACGGGTCACAGGGTTGTTTGATTATAATCCATCATCATGCTGGCGCGGGCGGGTTAAGGCGGAACGCATGGATGTGGGAGCACACGAGTACAGAGTGGTCCACATGTCTTGCGACCCTTTACATTTTTTCCCCCTTTCAATACTCATTTCTGTTTTAAATAAACATTACTTTGAAACATTACGCTTTGTAGAATTGAATGGGGGGGGGGGGGGGTGGTCCCACGACACGTCTGGACCACCATGTACATCACAGTACAATGGATCGTGCTGCACTGTACTCGACTGCTCACACCGTAGCCCCGCGGCAGCCGATAGCACCTGGAAGTAGCGGCATGGTGGTCGCCCATCCAAGCGCTTTTCAGACTCAAGCCCTGCTTAGCCTAGTTCCCTGTAAGTTTTATTTTTAGATAGATCGCGTAAATAAAAAAAAATCTTTAAACCTGCCACCAGCCCACCACAACACACATTTACGTGAAATAACCCCCCAAAAAACCTGTATTATGGATGATATTGGTCGCGAAAGCCTACGTGTTAAACTTAGTTCCCTGTATCTGACGGAACCAGGCACATTCATTGTGATAAGGTCATAAGGGATGGGTTTTTTCAGTCACCTACAATTTAAACTATCAGCAGAAATACAACCATCAGCAGCAGCAACAGCAGCGCCACTTACCGGAGTATTATCATATCCACGATTGCAGAGTGAATATTCCACAAGTGAAAGTTTCGGTTGGCTCGCAGTAGAGCCGGGTTGGCAAGTCGGTCATAGGATTAAGCGGTAGGGCTACGCGTGTATTTGACCCCTGTGCTCCGGCCCCAAACTGCCTCTTTTCCCATAGTCACTCATCACGACGATGGTGGTGGTGGTCGTTTCAGTTGCTTGGCCGTTTCGCTTGTCTGCTGGCGTTATCAGCTCTTGGTGTGGGTCAGCGTGCCTGAGACAAGTCACCCCTACACGCATCACAGCGCGCTCTGCCCTTTCGCGGACTGGACGCTTGCCTGTCGCTGATGCCGATAATATAATGAGACTCTTGATCTTGATTAGATTTACAACGCGAGCAGGACCCCTGAATGGTTGGATGCATGAGGGTCGGGGTGACGCCTGTGATGTCGTGGATCTTGGCTTCGTCCGCTCCTCATTGATTTGTAGAGTAGGTGTTTCGCAAACTTTAGTCCGCACGACCCATTCTCAACTCCGCTACGTTGTTTTATCCCCTCCCCCCTCCCGCGTTGACCGATGTACTCTCCATTCAAACACAAATCAACTCGTTCCACGCTGCACGCGCCCGATGATTGTTAAACACGTACCACGTAACGCGCGAAGCAATTAATGCTATCTGCATCACATGAAAAGCGTGCGCTCACATCGAGAGCTCAATCTTAATACAAATCGGATCAACGCAAGCATCTTTAACAGCGTTAATGAACAGCGATAATTGTTGTACCGTATTCCACCCAATGGAACGCTCCGTTTACTTATAACACACACGCAACAAGGACAATACAAATGGCTTAAATGTGGCTTTATTTTCAAATTTGTAACAATGCGCACAAGTTGGCACGTACACTTATTTTCTTAAACCATCTTAGGACTTGCTCGTTACTCCGCAGCCCAATTTGCAGCCAATTACCACACAGAGGCTTCGCTACGCAAACAAAACGTTTACAAATGGCTTAAAAAAACACATTTAAGCCATTTGTATTTTCCGCCCACACAGCTTAAAAGACGCGGTCCATGCTTGGCAGTGTTCACTCAAGCGCTGTCTTCTGGACAGTCCTGTTTCTCCACCTGAAGAAGGCTACTTGTGTTGTGGCCGAAACGTCGTGAGAATTTTATTGTTTTATTTTTATTATTTTATTTCCATTCTACGTGACTTTACCGAAAGAACCAAGGTGAATCCCTGCAGTCACGAAAGCTTTAAATCGAACAAAAACGTTGTTATACAACAAACGCGTTACTGCATCTTTCAGATTGCTTAACACGTAAACATTGCTGAGAAAAGTCACCGCAGCTCACGGATTCCTTACAAAGATTTTCGTTCCCAGGTTTTTCTGCAGGCAGCCTCTGTCGACTAAACATCCTTGCGCTGACAAAGGCAGCGGCAATACAGAAAACAAACACCTTGCCAAGGAAAGGCAGGCACGGTTCCTGACTTCCCTATTCTTGATTTCATTCTTGACCAGAAGGCGACAAGGCAATGTATCCAAGAAAAACACGCGGAAGAATGTTACAGCAGCTGCAACCGAAAAAAAACCTATTCGCGCGTATGGCAGTGTCAGCGTACGCCTACGTTTTAAAAAAATCCTAGGAACGCGTGCAGAACATCTGTAAAGTGATCGGAGCTACACACTATGGCGATGTATAAAAAGGTATGCTTAACAAACGGTTGTGTTACATAAGTGATTAAACTTACCGCGAAAAAATAGAACGCCTGACATGCGAGGCTAACGGCTGTTGAAATGTGACACCCATTTTACCAACACTCTCAACAAGCAGATAATAGATCTACTGTGCAGGAATGCTTGAAATGAAGACCGTTAATGAGGGATGGCTGCATGCCCTTGAGCCTAGAAGCGCTTCATCTCGACAAACGCCCTCCACAAACGCCCATAAGTGTCCTTTGTGTTCCTGCCTCTGCTTGTGACTTAATGCCCCGTTGTTAACGTTTTGCTCTTCTTACAAGCCGTCACTATTTTCCGACGTGCACTTATGCTAGAAGTGCTTTGGTGTTCAGAAGTGGGACAGATGCCTCTGCACGGATGTGCACCCTAATGCCCTGGCTGGTGTACAAATGTCCCTCCTTGCATGTCAAATTTTGCCACGGCCTGTTTCTTGACATGTTCCAATACGCAAAAAAAACTATGCTCGGATGAAAACACGAGGTGGGTTGATAAGTTGAGTTCACGTGCAGCGATGTTCCTTCGACAGTACTTAGCACTAAGCGGTACCTTTATACAATATTAAGAACAAAACAAATGTGATTTGGTGCTTGCAATTAGAACACTGCTCCTTTTTCTACAACACGGAGACAATACATTCAGATCTAGCAGCAGGCGAAGAGATTACACAAATAAATAACATTTACACCAAAGAAGTAACGTATTCGTCATTTAACGAGGATTGCCTCACCAAGTGTCAATTACCCTCTTTGAGGCGGGTCATGCGTTGTGCGGAGGGAAATTGGATCACCTGGATAAAACCTGCACAGGAGGGCATAATGCTCAAATGTCTGGAAAACAGGTACAGCATGAACCCACTGTCTTGGTCACCTCACAACCTATGAATTTTACAAATCTGTGATCCACCAATCCTTGCATTCCAAAGTGCTAAAATAAAGGTATGCACCACTCAAGCATCGACCTAAAATGAACCTAAACGACTTGAGCAAAAAATGACCGAGAGTTTTAAACTTCGATCATGTGTGTTTTTTTTACACGAAGCTACAAACACAGGCGGGGGGGGGGGGAGTTGCAGTGGTAGTGCGCGTGACAGCAAGGCGAGCGACACGACTGAAGAGAACTGCATGCGAAGGCCGTCCGCCACGACACCAAGTCAAGTTACTCGAACCGATGCGGTGACCCGACACAATCCCGGTGCACAAGGTGCAGCGCATGCTTCAGCACCCCGGTAAAAATCTGCAAGATAACACATCCACAGTCACGATCACTCTGCTGCTGGATGAAGGCCTCCCGAAGCTATCGCCACCTCTCACGGCCCTGCGATGTAAGAAGACACCGAGCACATGCGCGCCAGCTGATGTCGCTGTCTCCACAGTGGATGTACTCGTGTGTGTTCCCTGCTTTGGCTGTCAATCCATTGTTGTTCTCAATTACCGCATTATTCCTTCTAACAATGCATTCTGCCCAACTCAACTTAATTTTATTAAAAGTTCAAATTAAGTATTTAACCAGGGTATGTTCTCGAATTCAAGTGGTCCTCTTTATATCATACTAATTCTAAGCTTGCAATAGCACAATGCCTTTTTAACGATTGCATTGTGACTTGTTGGGAGTATCATGCCAATTTCAAATAAGTTATGAAACCTCTTACAATATCTTTAAAACTCTACGTAAAAAAACGAACAAGAAAAATCACACTAATTGTAAACCATTTTATCCACAAAAGTCAAAAGGGAATTCCAGCAGTTGCCAATACAATGTAAATTGATACGTGGTGGCAGCAGTTCATGACCCAAGTTCCGTTTCCAGCCGTGGCTATCAGCGAGGAGTGATGGCGCAACTGGTCCTAGGACCCACCGCTTGCAGAGCTGCACGGACCAACTTGGTGTGTGTGGTCTCAACCCCCATGACTGAAAATGTGTTTATAGGCCATCATCCAAGTGCATTGAGAAGGGTCTGTAAAATCTTAAAACCATAATTTATATACTGCAGTGCCTTTGGTGAAAACCACGAAAAACTACATCATGTAGACACTAGTGGGAAGCCCGCTGAGGCTTAGCAAAAATTACTTTAAGGGGAGTTTTCTGCCAAAATGTAGTGTTTGTCTACAAATAATATTTTCTCACTATTTTTTGTAAACTTTATTTGCAACCAACAATGGTACAGTGTTATAGGCGGAAACACATTTTGGCGAGTTACGTAGTGGATAAATATACGTACATACAAATTCCTTACACAAAATGCGTCCCTCTTGCGAAATGCATTTACCAAAAAAACACAAACGTTTACAAAGATTTAAGCAGTTAGCCTCTCATAGATCAAAGTAGAACATCCCTTTGAACACATTTCCGTGGAACGGTTTTGGAATCGTATCAAATTTTTCCCAACTTTTTACGCCCGATTTCTGTCTGGCGCAGGACATGACGCATCGTTGACCACCACCTAAAACTGCATTCGTTCAATACTTTGCTTTGAGACGGCACAGGTATGCGCGATGACGCCACCGCATGCATTGACAGGCGAAGCACGCTTGTTCGTGGGCGACGGTCGCTTGCCAGGTTGTGGCGAGAGTTGACCGATCGTTCTGGTAAACCGCCGTGAGCTCATTCCACCTCCGCACACAGAACAGCCCCAACGGTGCACATCCATCCGTTGTACCATTTTGAATATGGCAGTGCCATAGGCCCGGTTATTGTACATCAGATAAACAGCACCAGGCTTTCCAGATTAATTTAAATGTAGGGATTTATATTCCCCTGTTACAAGGACTCAGTGAGAAATGTCATGCATATTAACATTGCTTGTGTTGCAGTCGAAACGTCGTGAGAATTTTGTTTTATATTTTTATTATTTTGTTTCCCTTCTACGTGACTTTACCGAAAGAACCATGAATAAGCCACTCACCATAACATCTGACAATTAAGCCACAATGGGGCACAACAACTTTTCCTCTTTTACACGTACTTAGTAAAACTTTTCTTTATTAGAAGTTAATGTTACATACATTACAATAAACTAGCAATAATTTTATGGGCACGACTTTTCTTGTTACTTTTTTACAGTAAGGCATATAAGCGTGTGGGAGTAAGTTCGATCTGAGAACAGAACCATGCGATCAGATTCTGGGTCTGATTGGATGCAAGGTATCATCGAACCAGAATTCATCAATCTACTCGAAATGATGTATTCCATTTCGGTGCAGCCTTATAAAAAAACTGCTGCTGTGCAATGGGTGTAGTCAGAAATTTTCCATTAATTTTATGTTTGAGGCGAGCACCTACCTTCACCGGAGTTGACGTAATAAGTCTACAAACATTGATTCAACAAATAAAATCTATTCTTACACATATAGTACATGCATTGAACCATGCCTGTGAGAATGGAAAACGCAGTTTAAGCAAATAATATTCTAATGCTGCACTTAGCGAACGTAACTATATAAGCGAGATAGAACAAAAAAAACGCGCACAAACGTGATGGTAGAATTTTGGACATGACCCCATACCGACTCCTCTACTTACGAACAAGTCAGGTTCCAGAGATCTGTTCGTAAGTCGATTTGTTCATAAGTCCAACTTTATTCCTATCGATTCCAAACATGTTGTATGCCATGTACAAAAAACATGGGGAATGGATTTAAAAACTGTATAAGCTCCTGTCGGTGGAGATGCCACTGGTTCTTCATGTTCTGCAGATGTAGATGCCACCACCGCCATCTATTGCACAGCGGTTGAACTTACAAATCTCGGTCCGAACAGGCAACTGGACATATGGGCAGGTTTGTTCATATCTCTGAAAGTTTGTAAATCGAATGTTCCTAAGTAGAGGAGACCCAGTATTAGGAAAATGTCTTTATTCATCTGACAATGAGGGGTGAACATGACACGCTCATTCAAGAGGTTGACAAAAGCAATGATAAAATAATAACTCATGATATAGAGGCAGCAGCTATTGCAGCTCGTTCTTACACTTTAAAATCTCCCTTGGATTCCACGACACGGTGACGGAGCATAAACGTTGAAATTGCATCAGCAACCTGGAAGGGGGGGAAAAAGAAAATAAAGAGGTGGATATAAAAAATAACTCGTTAAAAAATCATTCTTTGCTATTTACCTAATAATATGAACAAATTATTTAATGGTACGGCTGCGTTTGCAGTGGTGCACAATTAACGGAAAAAAAAAAAACTCAACACAATCGTCAATATGAAACTGCCTGTAACGTTCTTGACAATTACACATTATGTACTATGAAGAAGGGCCAACGGCTAAAACGTCTCTTTTATTATACACTTTGCCCATTTTTAAGGGCGATGCTATTGACGAATGTGTTGAATTGAGTACGATATGAAAACAAAGTGAATGGAGGAAAAGAAAACTCTGCCCACTTTGTCCGGAGCGTCCTCGTGCACTGCGTGCCCACACTGCGGCAGCACCTGCATCTGAAACTTGCCTGCGTGAACAGTGGGGGTCAAAAAGGGCAGCGCACGTAACAGCAGTGAGGCCATCGCAGACACACAAAATACAAGGTTCTAACCCGGCAATGGATGGAAACGATAGGTAAAGTTGCTGTACAGTAGTCCCTCGGTTCACGTTTTCTAATCCGTTCCACAAAAACTGTTAGCCGAAATAACTGTTAATGGAATATAGGAATTACATGTTAAAAGCGTTAATCCGTTCCACTTACGAGCGCTCTGATTGGCCGAAATTGGCACGCGCGTGCATAACGTAAACATGCCGATTAATACAAATGTTAACGTTAGTCGAAACCATGGTGTACTATAGGAGGCGTAAGGTTAACCGAACAGCCGTTAACCAATGTCACTGTTAACCGAGGGACTACTGTATTATGTGTTAACTGAATATCCTCAGATCAAGCTCACATTGAAGTTATTTTTTTCGGAGAGTGCTGTTACAGATGTGTCAGAGACAACTTGAGAGTTTGAGTTGCTCTTTATGATATCACGTTCGCAATAAGAGGGATGTAAACCTATCGTGAGAGGGCAAGGAAAGTATAGGTAGATATGAACAAAAGACAATGCCATGACCTTATGCATGCACATTAAAAACAAAAACTTAAAAGTTAATAATTAGTATTAAGCTGGGTTGCGTAATAATTTCATGGTTTATATTTTGTATGTAATGAAGTGCTTACCTTGCATTTGCCCAATAGTTAAGTCTTTATCCAAGCGGTCAACACCTGCACTTGAGTAGAGAGGTCGCAAATATAAATGCATTGGCAGAATAAAAAAAATCTGAAATAACATTTCCAATTAAAGATGCTGGTAGTTACACTCGAATATCAATACAACACGATAATAAATTATCATAACATTTGTGAATTTATGTACAAGCAGCCTTTTCAATAAATACAAGTCAGAGATACACAATTCTGGTCCTCAGAAGTCATGGTGTCATATAGTTTTCATTCCAACTCAGCTCTCAATTACTGAACCAAAACCGTGAATTTAACGAATAATTTGCTTTATTAGACATTTTTCATTGGTATGGGCCATTTCAGCAGTGAGAATTTTTTAAATGATCTATAAATAAAGTTATCCACAGGACCAGGGTTGTTGCACCTCTGTGCTAAGTGATTGTTGTCGAGTTTGGAATGGGAGGAGCACCGGCCAACAGAAGCATCTTGGGCACCGGGCAGGAAAGGAAGAGCATGGAGAGGCCCCGGAACCAGCCTTCCCAGAAGCGCTCCGTGGTCGAGAGGTCAATTCGCCACGTGTACAGGGGGCCCTCCTCTGACTGCGCACGCACACGTTTCATTAACAGGTTAAACACGGTGTCATCTGCCGGTCTGAAGTTCAGCTCTCAAGTTAGTTTGGTTAACCGGGCAAGAACTCAAAAGATACCAGGATAGTCTCAGTTGCAAGAATAACCTGGGGAATGATTCTGCCAAAAGGGGGCGATGATTGCAATGTATCGTTCTAATAAGCCTGGGTGTGTTTAAAATAAACAAATCCACAAAACACAACTCAACATGCATCTTATACCAAAACAATAAACGTATTGAACATTCTTTGAGTTTAACGATATGGCAAAGTTGACTTAACGTTGCATACATTTTAAAACAAAGGTTGGATGTTCTTCTTGTTTCGTATAGTGGGGGGTTGATCGGCAATGTTAATGTTTACATCGACATTGCCGAGCCAGTGGATGGCTTCAGGAGCCGCTGACACTGGGAGGTTCCGAAGGTCCTTTTGAATCAGTAGGTTCAGGTTGGCGACGATGCGGGCGTACGGGCAAGATGGTTGCGGGTCTCTTAAGATATTCGGGAGGAGGTATGTGGGAACAAAACTGGCAGTCAATCGAGCGGTTTTGGCTTCAACATTTTTAGAGCTTTGGTGCGGGTCCTGCTGGACCAAGCTGAAGCCACAGAATTCAGTCGCCAAGTAAAATATCAGCACCGGTGCTGCTGCACAGAGCGTCCTGGTGCTGGCCCCCCATGTTGTACGAAGCTGATCCTGGTTTTGACCTTTTCACACGTCTTTTCCACATGACTTTTAAAGTTCAAACTCCGGTTGAAGGTTATGCCCTTTGAATTCCAGGTTGGCCTTATTTTTTTTTACCTGCCAGCCAGAATAGGTGATGTCAAGTGGGGCTCTTTTGTGAACTTGCCGTTGTAATGGACGGCTGTCACCGTTGTTTTTCAGGGGCTGGGGTTTGGTTACCGACGGAGATCATATTTCCCCACTGCTTTGAGGTGAGTGGTTAGGCTAGTTTGCCATTGAAGGTATTTCACAATATTTACTGATGAAAATCTTACCTTTCAGCAAGACTGTCTCAAAACATGAAATGCAAAAAAACTGTTTTTTTACTTTGCAAAGTGACTATATTTAAATGCTGAGGCCAATATATATTGTAATTTGAAGTACTCTTTGCATTTGATGACAAATCCAATCAGCCATTAAATTGCGTGCAGGCCAAAATCAAAAGGTTAAGACGTGCAAAAAGATGTTCAAGACAGCAAAAGCACGTCATGGAATTGAAGCAAATCAATGTGACAGCATCTATTCTGCACACATCCTGTACGAGAGCTGAATATAAATATTTCTACTGTAATGATACTTTCCACTTTAGTGAACTAATATTCTAATTAAAACATATTTCATCAACAAATATAGTAGAGGGAATTCGTTCCATGGGTGAGAAATTGACTATTTTTTCTCCAAAAGCGACCTTACAGTTGAATGGTTTATTTAAGATAACTGTTTGGCAGAGTGTAATTACATCATTTTAATTTAATGCCAACCTGTGGTGGTGATGCTGGCTGTGTGGTGTGATTGGACTCTTCCTTGTCTCCTTCCTCATCCTCCTCTTGAATGCCTTCGCAGAACGAACCATTTCCTTTGGATGGACTCGAGTTCCCACTCTCGCATCTGTGAGCAAACAACATGAGCAAGTTGGTAAAAAGTAAGGGTGGAGCAATGCATCGATTAATATCAAGTTTTAAGCACACTATTTGTGTATGTAATGAGTTAACGTCACTGCAATAACCACTTAAGGCACTACCATTCAGCATAATGTAAAAAAAGACTCATGCTTATGAAGAACCCCACAAGTCGTAAAATCTCTGACGATGTGAAGAAACAGCTCCCAGTAAAAAAAAAGCCCTCCCTTTTCTTGATAAACTACATGTAACATGATGCTAACAATAAACAATGTTTATAAAATCTAAATGTTAATTGAAACATTTTATATCTGGTACTCAAACTATGATAATGTACAGTGAAACACAATTTCATCAAAATTGCTGATAAGTGTTTTAAGGAGCCTAAAAGTATGGAATTCCCGAGTTGGACTGGCAGCGAATGTTGTGTGTGTAGCGAGCAGAGCTGAATTTAACACAAAGGGAGACAGCCATTACCTTTTCACCTGCCCACCCATAGAGACTCGCGCAGACTCCAGGTTCCTGATTTGGCCACTCTTGACACTGCATACAGCAGCACAAGCATTATAATCAGCATCACATCAATACAACACCAAGGCTAATTCGGATTACTTTGGGTGAGCAGTGTGAAAAATCAATGGCACGCAGTGTTAATCCAGTTCCATAATAATGAATGCGAGTTCTTATTCTATGCTGTGCAACGATTTAATTCTAGTCCTTAATGAAAGCATCATTTGAGTTCTAATTTCAGAATTTGTCAATTATAGTTGTTTTCAATGAGCTATATTCTAGTCTCATCATTGCTAAACAGTTAAGATGCATTTATAGTTTCTATAGCATTGCGTAGTCCTACTTATATTTATTTTAAGATTGTAATAGGTGAGAATATTTTACGTACAATTCGGAAACACATAGTTCATAGACGCAGCTACTTTCAACTATATTGTGGCTGCCACCATTAAATAACTTTCTTCCTCTGTTCACATCGTTTACATGTAACTTTCGGTTACAGTTTAACTATAGTTGTTGCCAAAATCAGGTTGCTCTTGTTCGTTCAATAATAACACCGGTCACCCAATTTGATATCTTGAGGTTTTTTTTGTTAATGCACAAATTGAGTATTTACCTCCACTCAATGGCATTCTCAACAGACTTGAATGTCTTTGGTCGACCGCGCAGAAAGTTTTGCATGCTGTTTAAGGCATCCATCGCCGTTCCTGTTTGACAGCAGAGGACACCACAAGGCTCTCAACGTCTGGTCCTTTAAGATGGTGGGTCATCAACTCAAAGACACCTTTGGGTAGTGTCTGCTAGCTGTGCCGACAGCAGATATGCGATATTATGTTTTAACAAATGTTGATGATGATTGCGCATGGAGGAATAGCAATATTTCAGAGTATGTTAAACTTTAGATTTTTAGTCAAGATCTTTGGGAGATGGGAACAAACACATGCAAATATGAGAGATTCCAAAAGCCACCAAAGTTGTTGTATCCACGAGCATCCCAACACGAATCACGTAGCAAAACCACTTACAAAGGAAGCATGGCACAGATTTTTCTGATGGCGAAACTCCTTATTAAAGAAGATCTCAATGTGTTTGGCGGCCACCTTCCACTACGTCAATGACGATGAGGCCGACAAGCGTGGGGATGACATTGGCCGTGGCCGCGTGGACGGCGATGGCTCCGCCCATACTGTGCCCAACCATGATAACGGGGAGGGGATTCTCCCCGTACAGGGCCTCCACCACGGCACCCACATCCCTGCAAGCATGAACGCACGCGGGTCGGCACGTCACGCTCATCGTAAGCATCATCTGTATTCACGATAAGCCGTTCACTTCAGTAAGCGTATATTGCAGTACTATAATATGGATCAGACACATGGGCATTGACAAAATAAAATGGAACAAAAACTGAATATTGTGGAAATATGCATGGAGACCCTGCATACAATTGCAATGAGAAACAGAGGAACATATGGATTAGAGAAAATCCATAAAGTTACACACAGTATATTGACGACTCTTTGGGTCTTTCGGTTAAGTCACGTAGATAGAAAAATAATAAAATGTATTTATTAGCATGAATTCCTGCAGTCACGAAAGCTTTAAGTCAAGTATATTGACTGTTAAGAAAAGTCGGCTTGACCAGGACATGTTGCTTGAAGGTACGATGGTTGGTGGTCAAGACTAATGTCCGAGTGATAGCATAATGAGGGAATGCGCAAGAGAGAAGAACCTTTTTTTTACTGCCCTAACATGCAATTCATTTTTTGGGCAAATTAAGTTAATACTTCATGTGCATTAATTCGTAACCAGGCTGAAACCATAAACCCATCACACTTCAGAACCTGGTTTAATTACAGGTAGCTTACCCATATTTTAACAAATCAGTGCCAGGTCAAATGTATATATTTTAATATAATCTTGTCTTGTGGATAGGTAAAAATAAGTGGAATGTATAGCTCAGTATTGCTCACGACTTACTTGGCCATCGTTTCTGCTGACAAGTCCTCAGGATTGCTCACGTGTGTGTCCCCTGTCAAACACACACACACACACCGAATGTGTTCATCATCAAATCGTCTTTGATTCGCACTTGAAACTAGAACATTGTTGGAAGAATGTGAATTCTGTACTAGATGTTGTTAGGAAAACTGAGTGTTATTTTGTCGAAAGGCACAATATACGATCCTTCATAATGCTTTCAAGAAGCTAATTTCGAAACTAAAAAGGTGACGAAAGCGGTTTTCGGCTCTCACCGTGTCCACGAAGGTCGACAGCCACCACACGGCACTCAATGTTGCTGCTAATAGCTGCCTGGTGGTGACAAATGCAACAGCTAAATGCACTTACAGGAGACCAACATTTGCTTTACTCTGTAATAATAATAACAAACATTCATATGTAGTCAATAGGCATGTAACAATTCACCCCCTTTGGCGAAAAAACGAATTACTTTGAGTCACGGTCATGATTGAACTCAAGAAACCATTATATTTGTCTAGTTTGAATTGCCTATCTCTTATGTTGTCTTGTAAATGCTATTCGCCAAAAGGTTCATGAGCATACAATGTTTGAGACGTACTATTACATGCTTATATTGTGAGCATAAGAATTGCTTATCAACAATACATTTTTACATGTCTAGTTGTAGTTATAGGGTTAGTAGTACAAGATATTATCTAAATATCGTGATGTGTCATGCTTGAACATGTAATACCGTAAAAACAGCCCAGGAGAGTGCTGAGTGTCCCCCTCCGTGCAAGAGTAAGAGCACAGGGCCCTCTGATCCACTTCGGTATACTCGGAAGGTGTTTGGCATGGTCAGGAAAAGCAGGTGAACAACGTGCACACATAGTTAGCATGTTTATGCAGCTCCTCTCTATTAACCTGAAAGCAAAAGGTTCCTGTTTCACTCTCTTTTGACAGAAAATATACAATTAGGTTGTTTCAATTATAGTACTGGAATTCTAATAAAGCCACTGGTGTACAATATCTTTCTTGTAAAGAGTGTCTTACATAAAACCATTAGACACATTGTGATACAAGTGTATGGAGCCATAAAAGGGTGACATTGTTATGGATAATGCATCTGCATCAATTTTTTTTTATCAGATTGGTGAATAACGTCCCCAACTGGCAGAAGTGGCAGCTGAGGACATCAAGAATTAAATGTTTTTTTTGTTTGGTTATGTTTCAGTTAGAAGACTTACAAAGCATTTAAATAATCGTGAGCAAAATTAATGTAAAACTAATATCAAGCGTCGGTGGCTTAATTAATTTGCAAATTAAAAGGATATTCCCTTATCATCTCCTTCCCCCACCTCCACATCATCCATGGATTCGAAGTAGAGGTTCCATGACACCGGGGTAAAGTCTCTTCTGCGGCCGAACCCATGGCTGAAATGACACACAACACACCGTGCCCGTATATTGTCCTGCCCTGTTTTTTTGTGTAGCACGTGCCCTGCTTGTCAGAGGATAGGTTAATGGGCTTTGCGTGTCAAGTTGGGACAATTCTGTTTTCGGAGAAAACCCTTGCAAACAGAACTCTCAAACATCACACAAGTCATAAAACTGCACTGTCAAACGTCACGAAAAACAATTATGTCCATACTGCCTCCTACAGGCATGCGAGTAAAAACGTGCTCCATAATACAGGTTTTTTTGGGGTTAGATCGCGTAAATGTGTCGTTAAACCCGCCACCACCCGACACAGCCACAATTGGTAAGGTTTGTCACGTAAACAGAACATGTCAATTTGTTACTAGTGCAGCCCACCGGTAGTGTTGGAGAGCCAAGCCACAACATTAACAATCTGAGTACGACGTTTTGCCAGTAATTACAACTCGCTTCATTAGGCGACAGTCAGATTTGAGGATAAATCCTCCTGTTTTGTTCCTTAAATAGAGGGGTAGATGTGATGACATCTTACTAATTGGCTGTGTCGGGTGGTGGCGGCGGGTCTAACGACACATTTAAATATGTACGCGATCTAACCCAAAAAAAAACATTTATTATGGATATATTTGTCGCGAAAGCCTACTACGTGTTAAACTGAAAACGTGCTGTTCATCCAGGTTTTTGTCTTGCGGCTCAAGACGTGGGAATCTCACGCATGTCTCCCATCATTCATCATCGCGATGGCTCTAGCATGGAAGAGTGATTCGGGGACTTCCAATGTCTAGGTGACCAACCAAACCATTATCAACCGACCCAATCTCAGAATGGCTGAAATGCATGCCATCATCTTGAACGTACGAGGTAAGGTAAATTGACCCCACGACCCGCAAGGCGTGGGAGTCCTTCATCCAGCAGTGGTTATAAAAAGGGCTGGATATTGTAAACATACGACGTTGTATTGTACTTTAAATTACATCTGCATGCAGTATACTTTCCAGGTCTACAACTGCAAATTGTGATGTGGTTATTGCACGAGTGGTCAGCGGGTGGCGGTGAGGTTTACTGGCGGAGGGGGCGAGACCGGCAACTTGCGAGGAATGGCTATATTTTGATTTAAAGCTTTCGTGACTGCAGGGATTCATATTCTTGGTTCTTTCGGTAAAGTCATGTAGAAGGGAAACAATAAAATAATAAGAAATATAAAACAATAAAGATTCCACGACGTTTCGACTGCAACACAAGCAATCATCATCAGGTGTGAAAACCACAGCAAGATAACCGCTACTTTTTTCACATTTTCTTGCTGTGGTTTTCACACCTGATGATTGCTTGTGTTGCAGTCGAAACGTCGTGAGAATTTCATTGTTTTATTTTTTAATTATTTTATTGTTTCCCTTCGACGTGACTTTACCGAAAGAACCAAGAATAGGAATGGCTATGCTCATAATACAGTTTTTTTGGGGTCGCGTAAATTTACCAAAAAAAACCCCTATACTACGGATGAAATTGGTCGCGAAAGCCTACGTCTTAAAATGCCTATGTTATTACAGTACGGTACGAGTGTATAAAAAGTCGGCACCATTTGCTTGATAAAATCACCGATTATCACGCACGGACACAAGGCGCGAGTGAGGGGTCGCGAGCGCGTCTCGTGGAGGATGCCTTGCGATGTCTACCAAACGTTAAGACGGAACCCAGGGAAACAAAATCTCTCTTCGTCTTGCAGAGTGTGTTGCCGGGCCGTCGCACACGACGAGTTCAACGCTCGAAGGCACACTTTTTAAGTTTCGCCCACAACGCCCCATATCATCATGGCGCTCTCGTGCAAATTGCACGCTACGGAAATTCACGTACAAACACCACGTCGGTGCGATATGCCTTTACGGTGGCACGACGACAACTCTGCGACTCCCCTTTCGCATTAACAAAGCGTCAACAACCCGTGCGTCGCCACAATCCCCCTGGAACAATCGCGTGTACAGTATATGTTGTTGTTATCGTTGAATCGCTTCCTTTTAGTTGCGCGCCCCGTGCAAAGCGACCTCTTGGAGGCGGCCGAGGAGGAGGAGCTGCCGGGGACGTGAGGTCTGGGCGGGAGGCGGCTCAGCTGCACCTTCTTCTGCAGGGATGACATCTTCACCTAACACGCACACTGTACCTACCACCGCGCACTGTACACTCCTCTTCACATTTCCCAGCGCGCTTCGGCGGCGGCGGGGGCGCCGATTGGTGCGCGGCTCCCGCGCCGTCGACCAATCGCGACCGAGCGTTGATGGGCGCGTTTGTACGTGCTGGGAAATGTAATGGTTGGCGGTGGGCGTTGTTAAAGCTGTTTGAAGGATTAACCAGCTGCGGATTCGTGAATGATTAAACGTTGTCAGTGTTTAATAATCTTAAACAAAAAACACAAAAGCCTTATTATTATTGGGGTAAACAAAGCTAATAATAACTTTACTGTAATTTAAAGCACGTACGATAATATTTGTTCAGCTATTATTTGTGGCCAGGTTTGCTTCAGCAAAATAAGCTAATACAGTAGCTTCTATACCCGGCAAGATAAAGGTCTCCAAGACAGAGGTTCTTTGCAAGCCATCTGGCTACCATGAGAGATTAGTTCATGAGGCTATCCACATATACAAACACAGAGACAATTTCAACCGAGAAGATGGATTCTGGCTTAGCAATCATTGGAATGATTTGATAAACCATTTCGGGTCTTAATTAATTAATCACGTATTCTTGGTTCTTTCGGTAAAGTCACGTTGAAGGGAAACAATAAAATAATAATATATAGAAAACAATAAAATTCTCACGACGTTTCGACTGTAACACAAACAGTCATCATCAGGTGTGAAAAAATCAACGGCTTACGGTGGCTTTCAGACCGCATCCATTATTTTCGTCTCCCCCCTCCTCTTTTCCGAACATAGATGGACTCGTCCATCTGAACAAACTGCCAAATCGCTCTCCGTGGTGCTAACGTAAAAAAAACACACGCCACTTTTTTCAAATTTTCTTGCTGTGGTTTTCACACCTGATGATGATTGCTTGTGTTGCAGTCGAAACGTCGTGATAATGTTATTGTTTTATATATATTTTTATTATTTTATTGTTTCACTTCTACTGTGACTTTACCGAAAGAACCAAGAATATGAATCCCTGCAGTCACGAAAGCTTTAAATTAAAAGCTATAGTTGTTATTGTTGTTGTTGCTGCTCTGCATCTCCCTCAGCCAACTACGAAACGAGGAGGAGAAAGCGGCGCGCGCGAACGCCGGGCGCGAAACAACCTTTAAAATCCCTACAATGCATAGGCGTGGGTGCGACGCGTGCGAGCCCTCCCATTGGCCGGGGCTCTGCGGCGACGGCGCGCGCGATTGGTTGGCGAGTCGCCGACCCAACGTGGTCACCGTCAACAACGGCGGCTGCGCGCGCGCGTGTGCAGTGGGAAATGTGAACGCGTTTTCGCCGTGCGTGTGTTGAGGCAAGCTTGTCTAACCCCCCCTCCTCAGCGCCTTAATTGTTTATTCTCATTGTTGTTCGAGCATGAAGACGAAGAGGCGCAAGACGAAGAAGTGTAAGGTCGAGTTGGCCGTGTGTGTTCGCTCGGTACCGCGGCACCGAGTTACGTCCCAGACGCTGAGGCGACTCTGGCGGTTGTTGGCGATCGCCGTCCCGCCAGTGATCGCTGTCCGTGGCGCTCGCAACACATGATGATGGCACGCAATGTGTGCTGTATTTTATTGCAGTGTAGTGTATTTCCATTGTGTCTGCGCTTAATCAACGCTCGTCTTAAACATTGCTTCTGTCATTCGCCAGAAATCTGCTGTGTGTACGAGTCTTAACGTGTTTTATTTTTTTCCGTCAACTTTTTTTTCAGGTAGATGAGTGCACCGTTCTGTAGACATCACGTAGGCTACACGTTATAGCAGTGTGTGTCATGAGCATTTCTAGGTCGTGCAGTAATTTTTCATGGCCATTTGTCAATCTATTGCTGGATGTATGTATGTTAGACTTCTTTCGCACCGTACGTAGCCAACCACGCTAATCGGAGGTGGATGATGGCTTCCTCACACCGTGTCGGTCACGGGGGTTGCTTGAACATACTTCACCATGCTGGTCAATGCGAATGGCTGGGAATCGCATTCGGGTAACTTTGTGAAGTAATTGTATGAAGGGGTTAATCACGCGGTGTGCAAACCACTGCACCACCACTCCACCCGTAAGGTCGCGTGGTTACAGCTTTGTGTAATTCTGCCCACACCGTTGTGGTTTGCAAAGCAGGGCTTTGGGGACGATTCACAAGCTGGGAAATTGATGCGTTTCAACCAGTGACAAACTTTTCACAACACTTTCAACAGACTTCCAACATGCACAGTGTGTGTATTCCCCCCCACCAACCATGCCACAGTGCCCAGCGAGGTGACCCCGGCGACCAGCCTGCCTCCGCTGGTGGAAGGGCAGCCACGATGTTTCTTGCGGATCAGGGTGGGTGCCCTGGTGTGGTCGGCAGGTGGAGCGGGTCCTCGGGTTTCCACGGTCCACGCTCCGCTTGTGCGTTTGCGCTGGTGGGGGGAGGGTTCAGGCGGCACCATCTTCAGACCCCACTTGGCTGGGGGCACCCGTTCGCCGCAGAGTTTCGCCCGCTTTTCCGTGTGCTGCGGACCAAAGCAGTTCTCTTCCTACCTGTCAGGTGAGAGTCGTGTGGTCAGATGCTAGCAGAGGGCCTGATTTGGCCAGGACAGTTTCCCACACAGATTTGTCTATTATTATGCAATACAATAAAAAAATAATCTAAAGCCACATTTCAATAATTGCACATGATGACTGTGATGCCTCTAGTCAAAATTATGTCATCCAAAATGTACAATGTAATACATTTTCCAATGTAATCCTAGACCAGATGGTTCACCTGCCACTTCTACCTCGGATGGAAAAACATATTTGTGTTTTTCAGATTAGCGGAAATACAAATTTAGCCATTACAACAAGAAAACAATTGAATTGTGTTGCAAAATAATGGAAATTTGGTTAATTTTAGGAGGCAGGGTGGTTGGGTGTGTTGCATTGTTATTGCCTTCTTGGTACAAATTTATGCCCTGTCACCTGCAGTATATGTGAAACGGCTCCAAAAATAAATAAATAAGTTACGTGAAATTGTCACTTTTATCAATTATTGGCTGTGAAGTGGCAATGGTTGAAAATGATGTTGCCACTAGAACAACAGCTCTTTTAAGGATAAATGGAAACAGTGAAAATGCTATTGGTCTATTGGAATGCTGACTGTTGAACCACTTTCCTCCTGCTACCTGTGGGCTTTGCCAGACATGGGAACTCTGGTACTGGAAGTGCTTGCCAAGCTGGAGCACCTTCCTGTCGGGCGCGTGCACATCAATCACATCTCCCGGCTGTCGGCGACGCAGCCAATCTCTGGCTCCTTCCCCATCCTCTCCTCCACGTCGCATAAGCTCGGAGAGCTACAGGTATCTGTTTTTTTTACCTTCACCCACCTGCACTGACCAGCGTGGCAGAGTATCATCAAATAACCCCCACATAGCACATGGCATGGGAAAGCTGTTACTTCGCAATGTATTGCCAAAGGGCTTTAATGGACAAAATCATGTGATGCAGCTTTTGTTTTGCAACACTTGTCACCATGCAGGTCTCTATGACTCTGGAGGCCCTGGTGGACACATCCGACGGCAGCAACTCGGTGCCCACGACGGACATGAATGTGAATGGCCACCATGGGGACGCGCCTGCTCCGCTGTCCTTGGTCCACGCCTCTTTGGAGGGCGGCTTAGCAAGCGTGGAGATGGATCCATCCACCCGTAGGCTCTCATTGCAGTCGAGCAGTGGACATGAGTCCGCAGGAAGCAGCCTGCCAAACACCCCCAGGTAAACGCATTGAGTGTAGTCATCAGAGAATGGGCCACTCTTTGCCTGACAGTAATATTTAGCCATGCAACGATGGATTGATTTTTTTTAAATCGTTCCCCTCATGATACCCATGCTTGGCATTTCAGACAAACGCATGGATCAAGGAACAAACACAAACTAGAGATGTATTCATTCTTAAGGAATGTAAGTGCATTTTGGTTGGACGCATCGGTAGATGGGATGACGACTTATGGAGGAGACTGGTGTGAGAATGACAGTCAAAGCAGGGAACAGGCCCAGGAGGCCAACCGTTGCAGAGACAAGAGTGATAAGATCATCTCATCGCAAAAATGCGAAGCATCCTGGTACTAAGGACCGTATAGGGAGGCAAGGGGAGGCTTTTATGCAGCAGTGAATATAACATGGCTTATGGTGATCATTATGTGTAATGCTTTAGCTTATAATACAATACTTAAATCGTCGTGTAAAGTGGAGTTGAATCCAGTTTTTTTTTACTGTAACACTAATAATATAACTTTTCGCACATCATCATGTCGTTTGCAGAGGAAAGGACCACCTGTACTTCCAGAGTGGACACACAGGCACCACGGGAAATGACGCTTTCAACTTGGAGCAAGTGTCGCACAGTGGTCTGCTCTTGTCACCCAACAAAGAGCAGCCTTCTTCAACCGTAGCCAATCAACAACCTGGTTACAACCAGGATCAACAGGCGGAAGAGTTTGGCGGGACCCAGAACACAGCAGATCTTATCTCTGGTAACAACAATAAGTATACACTGATAATTAATTTATGCCTATGACCAAATCACTCTTTGTTCAGTTAGCCCTAGTAAGCTCATCCTTGTTCTGTGCTCTGCTGCAGTGCTTCTGGACCGGGGCAGACGTTTGAGGGACGCCATGGTGGTGTCATCCATGCACATTGACCTTCCCCATTCCACTATGAACGCAGGACCTACTGAGACGTCCTCACATACGGGCACCTCCGGGTAAAGATGCAACAGTGTTAAACACGAATCTGAACGTCACTTTGGTTAACTTTTGTTTAGTGAACCAAACACCACTACTAAAAAATATTGATTGTTGTATTTTAAAGGTACGTTGAAATAGTTACATTTATGCAAAAGGTTGACTTCATTTTAAACAAGCTGATAATATTTTTGGTGAAATTGAATTTTTTAAGGAAGATCCATTACATAAACATATGAACTTCATGTGCCTTCGGCAATATAATGTTTCAACATCGTAGCAGTTGTAGCCATTTGATTTAATTAACTTAAAAAACTGCAATCTCATTAATGCTCAGACCACCTC